ATAATATATTTTAATATATTATATTTTCTATATATTATTATAAATATAATATATATATTTTGTAATATATTTTAAATATATGGTACTGATAACGTACAGGTAACATGACGACCGTTAATCCATAGAATGTTACTATACTAAAATATACTATAAGTTACTATATACGATATACTATACTATACATTATATTACTATAAGATATTACTATACTATATATTATATTACTGCAAGATATTACTATACTAAACATTATTATACCATAAGGTATTACGGAGAAATGTGTCACTCATTGTCCAAAAATCGATGCACTTTGGTTCAAGTGAGTCGTCCTGACCCAGTTCTGGGCCTGGCGTATCAGTGCTACAGGCAGGAAGTGTGTCAGTATCAGTGCTACAGGCAGGAAGTGAGTCAGTATCAGTGATACAGGCAGGAAGTGGGTCAGTATCAGTGATACAGGCAGGAAGTGGGTCAGTATCAGTGCTACGGGCAGGAAGTGTGTCAGTATCAGTGCTACAGGCAGGAAGTGGGTCAGTATCAGTGCATTATAACCCATACATTTTTGTGAGTGAAGGCGCTAGCGTGGCCTGGGGCTGCTACGTCCATAACAAAACCAACAAAATAGCACATTTAGTGTGTTATTTTGTTGTGTGTTAATAATAATATAATAATTATAATTTTGTTGTGTGTTAATAATAATAATAATTAATATTTTTTAGTGTGTTAATAGCAACAAAATAACATTTTAAAAACAAAAAGAAAATAAATAAAAACTCCACCCCCCCCTCCACCCTTTCGCGATCTGTCGTGAACGCATAAATCAACGTACAGAGATGATAAGAAAATAAGAACAAGGTTAACTTGTAATGTTTACTGAGAGCACACGGCACATACATTACATTATGTACACTAACATCGCAAGCCTCTCAACATTTCTTACAAAACTCACGTGCACGCGGAGAAATAAGCTGTACTTTGTCTCAAATATCGATGCACTTGCGCCCTTATGTGTGTCATAAATATCGATGCACTTGCGCCCTTATGTGTGTCATAAATATCGATGCACTTGCGCCCTTATGTGTGTCATAAATATCGATGCACTTGCGCCGCCCTTATGTGTGTCATAAATATCGATGCACTTGCGCCCTTATGTGTGTCATAAATATCGATGCACTTGCGCCTTTATGTGGGTCATCTTGACACAGTTAGGCTCAGGAACAAAGGACGTATCAGTGCTACACGTGTCTCAAATATCGATGCACTTGCGCCCTTATGTGGGTCGTCTTGACACACTTTGGGGACGTATCAGTGCTACACGTCTCTCAATATTTGGACAATGTATACCATGTATTTTTCAGAGTGTGATGCAGCGGGGAACCTTCAATGCTATTCCTACCGAACTCTTCGTAGTAATGATATTCGTACGTAAATATTTTACAATTTCATGAACAAGCAAAAGATTTATCAATCGTATACTGGGTGAGTTACTGGGCCAGTTAAAACCAATATACTGGGCCAGTAAAAACCATTATACTGGGCCAGTAGAAGCCAATATACTGGGCCAGTAGGAGACATTATACTGGGTAAGTAGGAGTCGATATACTGGGCGAGTGAAAACCACTATACTGGACCAGTAGAAGCCAATATACTGGGCCAGTAAAACCATTATACTGGGCCAGTGAAAACCACTATACTGGGCCAGTAGAAGCCAATATACTGGGCCAGTAAAACCATTATACTGGGCCAGTGAAAACCATTATACTGGGCCAGTAGAAGCCAATATACTGGGCCAGTAGGAGACATTATACTGGGTAAGTAGGAGTCGAAATACTGGGCCAGTAAGAACTAGCAGTATACTGGGCCAGTAATTTAACATTAAATACAGGAAAGAATTTCTTGCATTAACGAAAAAATAAAAATAATTTACTGGATAGCTATAAATATACTTTGAGCGACACCGACAAAAATGTTCCGACGTAAACGTTCCATTGTCAACGTTTCTATCAACGTTTCTTTCTCCTATAAACGTCACTGGCCCGCATTATGGAAAAAAGTAAAAAAAAGAAACGTTTCTTTTGTGTATAAAACAAAAAAAAAACGTTTTGCGGTCAACAAACGTTCTTCAAAAGTCAGGAAATATACAGAGAATCTAATGAGAAAAACGTTACAAGTTTGTGAACGTTTTTGGTGACAAACGTTCTTTGCCGCCCCCAACACAATAGATTGTGTCACTATTAACTGTACAAACACTGCACATTGTGCCACTATCATTTGTACAACAGCTCATATTGTGACACAATATTGTGCCAGCTTGTACACAACACAAACGTACACAAAGGTACACAAGTACACATCATTCAAAGTAGCAACATTTACATTTTGTACACAGCGGCGTAGTACAAATGTAATCCTTTTATTAACTCGAGACTAAAGTGATAACTTCGCGTGTACTTTGTACTAGTGTACAGTGTACTATACACTAGTGTACTTTGTACTAGTGTACAGTGTACTTTACACCAGTGTACTTTGTACTAGTGTACAGTGTACTTTATACTTTACACTAGTGTACAGTGTACAGTGTACTTTACACTAGTGTACAGTGTACAGTGTACTTTACACTAGTGTACAGTGTACAGTGTACTTTACACTGGTGTACAGTGTACTTTACAGTGTCAGAAGCATGTACATGTAAGTACACTTACGAGGCGCACAAATGTTGTACAAAATTCATCGAAGTTTCAGGAAAAAACGAGCTCCAATTTTTTTTCAAAACGCACGTTGAATTAAAAAAAAAACATGCAAAAAATGAACGTAAAATAAAGCATGAAAATGAACGTGAAATTTTGCTCCGAGGCAATCATATTCACGAGGCAATAAATACCCTAAGGTTCCACTTAGAAATTCCCCAAAACTCGCATAAGTTACCCCAGGAAATCCTAACATGGACAAAAATTATCCTAAAACACGGGGCAATAAATACCCTAAAGTTCCTCTTATAAATTCCCTAAAATTCACAAAAGTTACCCCAGGAAATCCTATAATGGACAAAAATTACCCTAAAACACGGGGCAATAAATACCCTAAGGTTCCTCTTATAAATTCCCTAAAATTCACGTAAGTTACCCCAGGAAATCCTAACATGGACAAAAATTACCCTAAAACGGGGTAATTTTTTTAGCTTCACCCATTACCGCCACACAGCTTCCTCTGTATATTTACCTACACATTTGTGTTAACAGGAAGTCGTGTGTACTTATTTTTCATAAATAATAATAATGAGAAAATGTAATGCATGTCCTGCCTTTCTGAACTTATAGGCTTTATAAAAGAAACATAAATATCAGAATAATAATAATTAGTACTTCAACCGCAGCCTAAATAATCAATTAAATTATCGTCATGTTTTCCATCAGAAAGTCTCCAGTGACAAGGGGCAATTAACCCATTTAATTATTAACTGGGCCTTTATTAACCCATTTAATTACTAAATAGGCCTTTAAAAACCCATTTAGTTAATAAACGGGCCTCTATTAACCCATTTAATCACTAAACAGGCCTGTATTAACCCATTTAGTTACTAAATAGTCTTCTCTATTAACCCATTTAATTACTAAACAGGCCTCTATTAACCCATTTAGTTACTAAACGAGCCTTTATTAACCCATTTAGTTACTAAATAGTCTTCTCTAATTAAAGTAATCACTAATAAATAATTAAGAAGTCTTGGGTTTCTTGGCCGCGCCCCCGGCCAGGAGGTCATGACTGGGCCGCTTGACGGAGCCCGCGGCGTGCGTGGCTCTCTTGACGGGCGACTCGTCGAGACTGATCACCTCGACGCTGCTGCCTGCTTTTATAGCCGCGGCCGCCGCCGCGACGTTGCCAACGCTCACCCCGCGGTTGCCAAGTGCCGCCCGATGACTCATCGGTGCCGTACCCACTTTCGTGATGGTAATTTCTTTGCTCATGTTGGCCTGTAACAAACGTTGGTTATCACATAACGGTATTTTATGGACTGCAGTCAACGTTAGTTGTCACATAACTGTATTTATGGACTGCAATCAACGTTTGTTGTCACATAACGTTATTTTAGAAACTGTAGTCAACGTGTTAGTTATCACATAATGGTATTTTATGGACTACAGTTAACGTTGGTTATCACATAAAGGTATTTTATGGCGGCAGTCAACGTTAGTTATCACATAACGGTATTTATGGACTGCAATCAACGTTATTTATTTAACTAATCACACAAATTTTATGTCAAATGTATTATAAAACGACTAGCGTTCTATGGACTAAATTTTAAAGGAAGAGAGGCCGGCTAGAGAGGCAGGCTAGAGAGGTAGGCTAGAGAGGCAGGCTAGAGAGGCAGGCTAGAGAGGACGGGGGATTATGGTTATCATTATCATCATAACTAAATCAATTATCACCGTCATTATAACGATCATTATCTTAGTTCGTGAGCATCGTGATTACCCTTGGCCCGGCCACCATATAGCCTGACCACTAGTTACACTAGTAACTTGTCACTAGTCTCTGACCATTAGTCTTTGTGGTCCGTGTACAGCGTGCCTGACATATATATATATATATATAGTCTGGGCACTAGTTACACTACTAACTAGTAACACTAGTTACACTAGTAAATACTAACTAGTCACTAGTCACTGACTATTAGTCTTGTGGTCCGTGTACAGCGTGCCTGATATATGTATATACCCTGACCACTAGTTACACTAGTAACTTGTCACTAGCCACTGACCATTAGTCTTGGTGGTCCGTGTACAGTGCCTGATATATACCCTAGCCACTAGTTACACTACTAACTAGTAACTTGTCACTTGGCCATTAGTTACACTAGTAACTAGTCACTAGCCACTGACCATTAGTCTTGGTGGTTGCCTCCTTGGCCTTGTTGACGACGCTGTGCGCGCTGTCACCCTGGCCACTAGTTACCGTACACTACTAACTAGTAACACTAGTAAATACTAACTAGTCACTAGTCACTGACCATTAGTCTTGGTGGTTGCCTCCTTGGCCTTGTTGACGACGCTGTGCGCGCTGTACACGTGGTTCTCGAAGAGCCTGTACATGTTGAACGTGGCCGTGCATACCGTGCACTTGTAGGATAAGTGAGCCGGCTTCAGGGTCATCTTGTGGTCACGTGACACGTGGTTCAGCAGCTTCCACTGGAACACCTGACGTACGATAGTTCATTAAGTGACTGACGTACGACAACTCAATTACGTGCCTGAGGTACGATAACATCTTGTGGTCACGTGACACGTGGTTCAGCAGCTTCCACTGGAACACCTGACGTACGATAGTTCATTAAGTGACTGACGTACGACAACTCAATTACGTGCCTGAGGTACGATAACATCTTGTGGTCACGTGACACGTGGTTCAGCAGCTTCCACTGGAACACCTGACGTACGATAGTTCATTAGGTGACAACTTAATTACGTGCCTGACGTATGACAACTTAATATCATGCCTGAGGTACAATAGTTCGTTAAGTGACAACTTAATAAAATGCCTGAGGTACGATAACATCTTGTGGTCACGTGACACGTGGTTAAGCAGCTTCCACTGGAACACCTGACGTACGATAGTTCATTAAGTGACAACTTAATAACATGCCTGAGGTACGATAACATCGTGTGGTCACGTGACACGTGGTTGAGTAGCTTCCACTGGAACACCTGACGTACGATAGTTCATTAGGTGCCTGACGTACGATAGTTCATTAAGTGACAACTTAATAACGTGCCTGAGGTACGATAACATCTTGTGGTCACGTGACACGTGGTTGAGCAGCTTCCACTGGAACACCTGACGTATGATAGTTCATTTAGTGCCTGAGGTATGATATTTCATTAGGTGACTGACGTACGACAACTTAATTACATGCCTGAGGTACGATAACATCTTGTGGTCACGTGAAACGTGGTTGAGCAGCTTCCACTGGAACACCTGACGTACGATAGTTCATTAGGTGACAATTTAATTACGTGCCTGAGGTACGATAACATCTTGTGGTCACGTGACACGTGGTTAAGCAGCTTCCACTGGAACACCTGACGTACGATAGTTCATTTAGTGCCTGACGTACGACAACTTAATTACATGCCTGAGGTACGATAACATCGTGTGGTCACGTGACACGTGGTTCAGCAGCTTCCACTGGAACACCTGACGTACGATAGTTCATTAAGTGCCTGACGTATGACAACTTAATTACGTGCCTGATCGAGGTACGATAACATCTTGTTAATTACGTGCCTGAGGTACGATAACATCTTGTGGTCACGTGACACGTGGTTAAGCAGCTTCCACTGGAACACCTGACGTATGATAGCGTTTTACGTTTCTGAGGTACAATATTTCATCAAGTGCCTGACGTACAACTGTAATACTCTAGACGCCTGACGTACGAAATAAAACAGTTGCATGGTTCTGCCATGTAGAAGGCAGTGACAAAGTTATCATACCAATCGAACAGCAACAAACTGTAACACATCAACAAGTTGTCATACGCTGCCACACAGCAACATGTTGTCATACGCTGCCACACAGCAACATGTTGTCATACGCTGCCACACAGCAACAAGTTGTCATACACAGCAACAGATGGGACACATGCCACTCTAACCTTGCCACAGATGGGACACATGCCACTCTAACCTTGCCACAGATGGGACACCTGCCACTCTAACCTTGCCACAGATGGGACACATGCCACTCTAACCTTGCCACAGATGGGACACATGCCACTCTAACCTTGCCACAGATGGGACACCTGCCACTCTAACCTTGCCACAGATGGGACACCTGCCACTCTAACCTTGCCACAGATGGGACACATGCCACTCTAACCNATTTAATAATTCGATAATAATAATTATTTTGATAGCATCAACATCATTTTATTCAATAATTCATTTAATAATTCGATAATAATAATTATTTTGATAGCATCAACATCATTTTATTCAATAATTCATTTAATAATTCGATAATAATAATTATTTTGATAGCATCAACATCATTTTATTCAATAATTCATTTAATAATTCGATAATAATAATTATTTTGATAGCATCAACATCATTTTATTCAATAATTCATTTAATAATTCGATAATAATAATTATTTTGATAGCATCAACATCATTTTATTCAATAATTCATTTAATAATTCGATAATAATAATTATTTTGATAGCATCAACATCATTTTATTCAATAATTCATTTAATAATTCGATAATAATAATTATTTTGATAGCATCAACATCATTTTATTCAATAATTCATTTAATAATTCGATAATAATAATTATTTTGATAGCATCAACATCATTTTATTCAATAATTCATTTAATAATTCGATAATAATAATTATTTTGATAGCATCAACATCATTTTATTCAATAATTCATTTAATAATTCGATAATAATAATTATTTTGATAGCATCAACATCATTTTATTCAATAATTCATTTAATAATTCGATAATAATAATTATTTTGATAGCATCAACATCATTTTATTCAATAATTCATTTAATAATTCGATAATAATAATTATTTTGATAGCATCAACATCATTTTATTCAATAATTCATTTAATAATTCGATAATAATAATTATTTTGATAGCATCAACATCATTTTATTCAATAATTCATTTAATAATTCGATAATAATAATTATTTTGATAGCATCAACATCATTTTATTCAATAATTCATTTAATAATTCGATAATAATAATTATTTTGATAGCATCAACATCATTTTATTCAATAATTCATTTAATAATTCGATAATAATAATTATTTTGATAGCATCAACATCATTTTATTCAATAATTCATTTAATAATTCGATAATAATAATTATTTTGATAGCATCAGCATCATTTTATTCAATAATTCATTTAATAATTCGATAATAATAATTATTTTGATAGCATCAACATCATTTTATTCAATAATTCATTTAATAATTCGATAATAATAATTATTTTGATAGCATCAACATCATTTTATTCAATAATTCATTTAATAATTCGATAATAATAATTATTTTGATAGCATCAGCATCATTTTATTCAATAATTCATTAAATAATTCGATAATAATAATTATTTTGATAGCATCAACATCATTTTATTTAATAATTCATTTAATAATTCGATAATAATAATTATATTAATAGCATCAGCATCATTTTATTCAATAATTCATTACACACGAGCAAGAGGAATGTATGATTATTTATCTTTGATAAGGTTTTGATAAGGCGCGTATCCAGGATACGTACGTATCGTGTGGGGATCCCTAACATAATTTGAGTGACGCCCAGGCTTCTGCCCTAGAGTCGCTACACTCGGCCATAAGAATCTATATTTTATTTCTATATTTATTTAATATATAAACTATATATATATTACAATCGGCCTAAAGTATCTATATTTTATTTCTATATTTATATAAAATGTATACTATATATATATTACAATCAGCCTAAAGTATCTATACTTTATTTCTATATCTATGTAATATATATATACTATATATCTTACACTCGGCCTAAAGTATCTATATTTTATTTCTATGTTTATGTAATATATATACTATATATATATATATATTACACTCGGCCTAAAGTATCTATATTTTATTTCTATATTTATGTAAAATATATATACTATAGGTATATATATTACAATCGGCCTAAAGTATCTATATTTTATTTCTATATTTATGTAAAATATATATACTATAGGTATATATATTACAATCGGCCTAAAGTATCTATATTTTATTTCTATATTTATGTAAAATATATATACTATAGGTATATATATTACAATCGGCCTAAAGTATCTATATTTTATTTCTATATTTATGTAAAATATATATACTATAGGTATATATATTACAATCGGCCTAAAGTATCTATAT